CTCTCTCTCTCTCTCTCTCTCTCTCTCTCTCTCTCTCTCTCTCTCTCTCTCTCTCTCTCTCTCTCTCTCTCTCTCTGTGCCCCCCTCCCCACCCCCCACCCCTCTCTCTCATGCGCACACACACACAAACACGTGTGCACGCAGTGACAGGTAGTGACAGGGCACAGCAGACGGCAGCAAAAGGCAGCCAGGCTCATATGGCTGGCAATGACGATTGGCAGCGACAGGGGCATGGAGGCAACCAGAGGCCGCAATGGAGTGGGGATGAGGATCAGCAGCGACAGGAGGGGTGGAGGCGAAGGGAGACGGTGGAAACAGGAGACAACATGCTGCAGCCTCGCGAGGCAACATGCTGGGCTGAAGGCAGTGGTGACACAGCGACAGGAGGCAACAGGAGGCATTTGGAGGAAACTGGCGGCAGCAGGGCTGAAGTGACATGATTCGTAATTTGTTTTTGTTTTTTTTGCAAACGGCGATGATATCATCTCTAACTGACCGTCCCAGGATATTCAGAATCCATTCAACATGTTCCAATCGATTCGAACATAGGTTCATATTTCAACAGTACATGGGTGTACCAACTGAGCTAGGCTGGAACGCCCTTCGGTACCACACCTTCTGGTAACACCCTCCCTTGTCAGCCGGCTATGAGGGCCGGTTGCACAATGGTCAGCCCAGATCGCAGGCTGATCACCAAAGATTCAGATCGGTCTGTGATCTTGGTCGTCCACAGCCGCAAACGGCCGAGATTGCAAACCGATCCATATTTTCGGTGATCAGCCCGCTATCCGGGCCATCAGCGAGCAGCCTGCGATCTGGGATGTTCATTATGATGAATAGCGGTTTCTATAATATTATAGGTTCCTCCAGGAATAGCGGTTTCTATAATATTATATATAGGTTCCTCCTGGTGTCATCAGCTATTCTGGTGCAAATTTGCAATTGCAGTTTTGTGTGAAAAGCCCAACCAAGCTTGATCCACTCTGAACGGAGTGTGAAACTGTGACAATGGATGACAATATTCAAAAGTCTTGAAATTCCAAATAGCGGTATAAGAGCTGGTCATGATCTTGACTTCAGGCACCTGTTGCCTGAATTAGCGTTAGCAAGAGTACTACATCATCATCAAGTGCTACATCAGCACACATCTAATGACCTATCAACTAATAACCTTGTGTCAGGGCCCATCTTGTACAGTTTCTCCAAGGGATTGATACCGTGCAAAGAGGTGGTCAGGGAAAGTTAATGTTGGAGGGGAAAGTGGCGACATGGACTCGAGACTATGAATTGTCTTGTGTCACACTTACAAACCCAGAAGCTACCCTCACCACCACCTAAGAAGACGAAGGGGAGGACAGATCTTATCATTGCACAACATAACGTATAAGATATTATAAAGCTCCAGTTCGTCCTCCTGAAACAGTTTTCACCTTTGGCAGTAGCCGATGCAGATCCCAGGGGTCGATCCCTTGACCTCAGCTTACCTGTGTACAGTATCTGTACAGTTCCCTGGAGTTGAACCCGTGACCTGCACGATAGCCAGTGGTAAGTAGGTCACCGTAGGT